ATACAAAACCAGCATTTTCTCTGATTATATTTAGGTTTGAATGGAAAGAAAAACATAAGCAGTACTATCAGTAGCAGGAATTTTTAATCTTCACAAAAAAAGAAACCTATGACAGATTTTCAAAAACTGCCTCCAGGGACTTTTTCCGTGTTCCTGTATAACCAGTTAAATCTTTTTTTTTCACGTTTATTCAACACACTTGGAAACAGGTTAGGCTACATTTTTAAAGAATCTGTTACTGCTGTAGGTTTTTTTTTCTGTCACAAAATGTAGAAGAGAATACCAAGCTATTAGTTCTGCTCTGTGGCTTTCCCATGTAGTTTTTAAATTTATAAAAAAGTGAAATTCTTACATCTAGGGCTTCAGATTTTACAATGGACATTTCTTGATGCCCCCTCCCTAGAAAAAGTAGAACAAGGAAGAGGAGAAGATTTGCTCTGATTTTGTTCTAGCCTTTTTAAAATAGTGCATTAAATAGTTCATTCTTTAATTGTAGTGCAAAACACAGAGTTGTTGAGGAAACTATCGTTCTTCATTTGATAATCTTGCTGGTTGCTGTAGAAACAGTGTCAGCAGTTGCTTAAGTCAAAAGATATTGTTATTCCTCAAAGAAGCTGTCTTTGCACCAATGTTAGAGTGCAGTAAACTACTTTAAAATATAATTAGATGCAACATGGACCACTCTTCTACTTTTAGTGAAATGATAAGCTGTTTGCACTTGAAATCCATGTGGTCCTATTGCACAGTAAACACAAAGGATTTGCTAAAAACCAACACCTTTAAAACTGGGAAAAGAACAGGGAAATCAGGAGGATGTAAGGACTAGGTTGGAACTCTGCATTCTCAGTTACAAATTACGTGAATGAATTTTGTTAAGAGGTGAAAAGAATGGATATTTATGTCTTAGTTCACATTTGTACAGGACTTCTAAGTGTTCTGAGAGCTTCACATGTATTTTCTGAGTCAGGATTCTTACCTCCTGATTGCTTCTTATTGCAGATGGGGGTGAGCTGAAGCTGTGTACTTTGACTAAGGCCAGTCAATAAGTTTATGGCTGAACTGAAATTCAAAGAAGGGTCTTCTCACAAATGGCTCAGCCAGTCAACTGCACCATGCCAGCTGTTTGTAGAAGTGCCTATTTTAATGAAATGTGTTAGAGCATCTGTTACATAACTACTAAAACTGTAATATTTAAAATGTCCTTTCTTATTCCCCACCTTTTGTACGCCAGAGAACAAAATTTGAAAATTATGTATATTTGTAAATCTTGACAAAGAAAGAGAAGTGGTAAGCGTTAAGTGATTTCACTTTCCTCAGTAGGCTTTTGTTTCTCTAGGCTACATCAGTTTATTAAATTACGTACAGATCAGTAAGCAGTATGTTTAAACTATATTAATTGACTGACAGATACCAAGAGGAAGCCTTTTTGGAAACCTGTACAGTTGGTTGGTTTTGGCAGCACAACCCTGGAACTGTGGAACATTTCATTCAGAGACCTGCCACGTGCAAAAGTGGTAATACTGTAGAGATACAGTTTTGGTACTGCTAAAACATTTGTCCTACCTTATCTTTTTGTGGAATATCAACAATGCATTTTGTGGAATATCAACAATCTTCTTATCTTAGTGTTGCCCATTTCTTTAGAGCTGAAGTATCCTTACCATTGCATCACTGTGTGTGCAGTTAGCTACAACCCAGAATAATTTGACAAATGAAGTGTGTAAACTAGCTGAGGAAGTCCATTTTTAACTTGAATTGTATATCAGATTGTGAGAACACGTGTGAGATATTAATCACATGCACATAAATCAATAGCATTATTCAAGTATTTATTTAATCATGTGTGGAGCTAAACTCAACTCATGATTTCAGACTCTGGCTTGTTAAAATAGCTAACTACTACTTAAAACTATAAATGAAAAAGCATGAAAGTGAGAATAGTTTCCATTAAGCATAGGTGATATTTCTATATACTGTAATAATAAAACTGGTATTTAAAGCCTTACCTTATGAATATTGCTGTTCCCAAAAGTTTTGCAAAAAGAGGAGATATTCTAGTGGGCAATGAAAAAATCACATCATTTCAAGGAATGTTTATAGATTTTTTTTTTGGAAGATTGGCTTGCCAAAACCAGTATGAGATTCTGATGGTTAAAGAAGAAGTCACTCAATAATGGCCAAAGGGACTGAGTTCAACCAAGTGCAGGACACACTAACTCTCCCTATACCTGAATGTTTATGCTCTAGTTGTGGAGATCAGAGTGACATGTGTCCAGATTACTGTGCGCCATGAGCAAAGAGCATGAAAGAACAAAATGTACCATAGATCATGGTGTTGATAGGAAAAAGATTGACTTAAATAAAGGAAAATCTGTTTTGTTGCAGAGATAGCATCTGTGTGAAGAGAAGGTTAAAACTAGGGATGGGACTTTCAGGTTAATCTGTATGGATGGAAAACCTGAAAGAGGCTAATTCTTTTCTTTTCAGGGTTTTTTTCCGAATCCTTCAAACCAGCCCTCTTAAACTGGGGGCATGAAAATTTCATGTTTTTCAATGTTTCTTTAAATCTTTGCCAAATTATTTGGCAAATTTTCCTTTTCTTACTTTGCTACTACCACTGGGCACCTTCTTGCCCTGCTCTCAACTCTGCTAGCTACACCCTATCTCCTTCCTTCACTTCTTCCACACTTTTTTCTGCTTCTCTTTCCACAGCCATCTGCAGTCATACAGATGTAAAGCTATACAGGACTCCGGGGGTCATCTAATACAAATAGTGTACAGTGGTGCCTCGCTTTACGATTGCCCCACATTATGACGAATCTGCTTAATGACGATCTTTTTGCGATCGCAAAACGATGGTCTAAATGGGGGAATTTCATTTTACGATATTGGTTCCCTGCTTTGGGAACCGATTCTTCGCAAAATGACGTTTCTGAACAGCTGATCGGCGGTTTCAAAATGGCCGCTGGGTGATTAAAATGGCTCCCCACTGTGTTTAGGGATGGATTTCTCGCTATACAGGCAGCGAAAATGGCCCCCGTATGGAGGATCCTCGCTGGACGGTGAGGTTTTACCCCATTGGAACGCATTGAACGGGTTTCAATGCGTTTCAATTGGGTTTTTATTTTCGCTTTACGATGTTTTTGCTTATCGGCAATTTTCCTGGAATGGATTATCGTCGTTAAGCGAGGTACCACTGTAGTTCTGGAGTTACATTGGACAATATCCTGTTGCTGTACATTAGGTACAGTATCTCCGTAGGCATTATCTGTTGCATATCAATTTGCTCATCTTGGCATGCAACATATAATGCCTATGGAAATTAATTTAAGGCAATTCACCCTAAAAGTTAACTGCTTTTGCATAATTGTACAACAGGATTTTGGCTAGTATCTACTGTGCACCAAGTTTTGTAATCCAGTACACAACAAGTAGTATCTACAGTGATTTCTTAACTTGAGCCTCTTGGTCTCCATAAATTATACCTTTCGCACACAGATGTAATTAACAGGATTTGGCGCTTTTTTTTGAACGACACCTTCAAAGTATGAATTATGGCACCTACTTATTTCAAACAGCACATACTTAAGATTTATCTCAGTGTGAGGATCAGAAGTAATGCTCAACCTGCACTGGTTGCCAATTGCTTTCTGGGCTCAATTCAAGGTGTTGGTTCTAACCTTTAAAGCCTTAAACAGTTTGGGTTCTGGCTATCTAAGGGGCTCCCTGTTATGAGACTTTCTGGACTGCAGGAGAGGAACTCGTAAACATACCAACACTTTCACAGGCCCACCTAACGAATGCACAGGAGGGCCTTCTGAGTTATGATCTATTTCTACTATGACTAATTTTAAGAAGCAAATAAAACACATCTTCTTAGACTGGCATATGGTGTTTCGCTTGCCCACAGTATTGTTTTAACTATATCCTTTGTTGATTTTTAATATATTTTGCTTGGTTTTAATGGTTTTACAGTGGGAGTTGGTTAGACAGTTTTATGATTATTACCTAAGTGTAGTTTTAAATTTTTTAAATCTTTTTCTATTCTTTTCTATTATTTAAATAATATGTAAGTTGTTTTGAGGGTTATTTTTTTCACAGAAAGATAAGGTAAAAATGGAGGGAAGGAGGAAGGGAAAAAGACCACATTTCTTATGAAGGAACCAGGTTTCAATGAATTTCAGGAGTGCATACTCCCATCATCAACATTCTTTTCCAGAATGTTTGCAAGATGATCACAAGGGTTCTGCTCTGTTTTGGGTTAACTATAGTTTTTCAGTATAGGGGTCATATGATTATAGTACTGTGTACCAGTTAACAACTTATTTGCTGCATGTTGCACCAATTGAAGAACCTAGACCTTCAAGGATGTCTGGAGGCAGCCACTGGGTCTTTTTTTCTTGCAAAATTATGGTTCTCACCATTATATCTGCCACTCCGTTTTTGAAAAGTCTATAATGAATGGATATCTGTGGCATAATTTATCACTGTGTTGTTATCTATGTTGACCTTTGAGTATGGCTTCTGTTTCAGGAAGCCCAAGCATTCCCGCTGCGCCTTGGCATTGATTGTTCTGTGGTATCTCATGTAAGCACTCATACAGCCTTTTAAGGTGACCATAGATTAAAATGGTGTGCAGGGTTTCCCCCTCAATCTCTTATTTCAATCCTTAGTCATTTACACAACTTATTTTTCCTTCAAAGACAAAGTTTACTTTGAAAATGTAAACTTCCTTCTTTGAAGAATGAGAATATATGTTTCATTATTAAGTGTTTTTGTTTTTACAAAAATTGAGCAAAGTTTCCTTTCTTCACAAAAACTAACCTTCCTACCTTTTTCTTTTTGTTAATGTTTGTACTATCTCACAGTGTGAGAATTGCCCCCAGAGCTACAAAAACAATTCCAAACTAAAAGCTATTCTTTGACTGCCTTTGTTCCTCTAGTTCACACAATCACTTCATTCACAGTTAATGTTTATGATTTCATTTTCTCCTCTGCAGTTGTTCCTGTGATTTTAAAAGGACTGACCTATGATGAGAAGCGGGGAGCCTGCAGTGTTGGTTCTAACGTACGGGATTCTGCATGTTATGTATGTTGGGCTTTTGCTCGTGCCTACGACCCCTTAGAACTGAGGCCGTTCGTTAATCAGATTGCAAGGTAAGGTACCACGGAATTAAAAAAAAAGAACTCTCAACTGAATTAGATTTCAGAAAATGAATGATGGAATAAAATGGCATTTAATTGTCATAAATAAGTCAAGTATAAATCATACAAAACAAGCAGAAATAATCCAGCTTCTTGTCACCATCTGTTGTGGTACCCGTTGGTGCATTTCTGCTGTGAATGGAGTAGTCAAGCTGATGTTGTGGACTCTATTTTCTTCAAGAAAAATCTAAACTTTTAAAAGGAGGGGGGAAGAATGCACTTGAAAATATTTTATTTTCAACCAAAACTATCAGCGATGAGCTGTTGTGTTCCAAATAAATGAATGAATACACAAGTCTTGTATCACCTTTAGATGTACATATAAATAATCTTCAGAAGATTATAGAGTTAAATTTTAGGCTTAAATCCAATTTCTAGTCCCAGCTAGAATAAACTAATTGGATGGAATCATATTGGTGATTGTGTAATATTTGCATAACATGCTGTGGTTAATTGCAGGTGGTCAACAAGGTGCCAGTGCGTACCTTGGTTACACAATCAGGCATGTGACCAGACACCACATACGTTAGCCATAGCAGGTTAAACAGACATTATTAAAACACCACTAACATGGCCTGGCCAGAAGAAACAGAACTGACAAGTTGTAAAAATTATTAGAGGATAGAACAGAGAAGGGAATGTCAGGATAGTTTGAAGTACAGATGAGGAGGGTAGAAAGCTTAGAGAAGAGGAGGTGCAAAATGAAAGTTGGGAAAAAGTGAAGGAAGGAGTCTGAAAGAGTGTCAGCTCAGATACCTACTGTTCGTAGACATCTGGCCTCTAGCTGTGGAAGTGGACAAGGAAGACTTTCAGAAACAATAGCTTTTTCCCCCTTACCTACCTGTCTGTTATGCTGGCCTACATGTATTTCAAGCAGAATGTATCTTCAGTTGACCACAGGTGGAGAAGGAGGAGCTCTTCAGGAAGAAATTCACTTGAAACTTATCTAATTATCTAAAACTGTAACTCCCTTTCTTAGGAAAAGAAAGTCTGACAGTGGGAGCTGCTTTAAGTTGGTACTTTAATAAACTTGAACTGACAGCATCCCATACTTCACTTTTGACAGTTCCTTGTGAATATGATGAAAGATGTGGATTTCATCATGTTCTTTCTAGAAAAGAGGCAGATAAATGTTGCCTCTTTTAAACTTCCAAGTAGTTTAAAACATGGGTCGGGGAACAGGGGTAAATTACCCCAAATGGGGTAAAAGTGAAAATCCTAGGGGTAATGAGCTGGCTGCTACCCCCCTCCCTCCCACCCACCCCACCCTCTGCAGCCAAAGGTTTTATTGTAAATCACCTCGCCCTGTTACTTCCTTCCTTGCAGCCGGGGGCTCCTAAATGC